TATTATTATTATTATTATTATTATGTGCAGTGCAGTGGCATGAATTGCAGTGACGTTATGAAACTGAGAGAAACGAGTGAGTAAGAAAGACATTACAGCTTGCTGTATCACAGTGCGGTGAAGTGAAGTGTGGTGAAGTGGGGTTTTATGAAAGATTGCACGGTGAAATGTTCACGTGATTTGGTAAATTTTGTATAGTTGTTAGGTACCTGTAATGTTAAGTTAGTGTATTCTGCCACCAAGTTCTCACACTTAATTGCAGAATTATTAATAAATCTAATATCTAGGGCAAAAAGGTATGGACTAAGACTAAATCCTTGATGCAGTCCCACTTTGACTGTGAACTCTTTGGTTGTTCCATACCCCCACTTCACGGATGTCAAACATAAATCATACTCTTCTAAAATTAGCCTGACAACTGTTTTTTGGATATTCTTTTTCCTCTGTGTCCATCAATGAAGATCACATGACACTTCGTCGTATGTCTTTTCTAGGTCAATAAACATCATGTGGAGGTCTTTTTTTGTAAACTCCCTGGATTTTTCCATCATCGTTCTAGGAGCAAATATTGCATGTGTTGTTGACTGTCCAGACATAAAAACGAAACTACTTCTCTGTTACTTCCATTTCCTCTCTTAATCTTGATTCTATCGCTCTCTCCCAGAGCTTCATTATGTGGTTAATAAGTTTTATTCCCCTGTAATTGACACATTCGTGCTCATCTTCGTTTTTAAACACAGGGACTACATAACTTCTCGTCTATTCTCCCGACATATTTTCTGTAAAAAGGTTAACCACTTCACCCCATCTTTACCCAAATTCTCCTATGCCTTGATAGGGATGTTGTCTGGTCCCGAGGCCTAACCATTTTTCATCTTTTCAATGGCACTTTTATCCTCTAACATTGCTACAGGAAGTACAAGTCCCTGATTATTGTGCTGGAGTGCTGAAATGTCAGTGACATAATTTACTGTTGGCTGTCAGAATTTTGTACAGAGGACAAACAATGATGCTGAAAAATATGCACATAATGATAAAATGAAATACAGGAAGTTGTCTTTTTGTTTGTATTCAATTTCTTGTAATGCTTCAATTTTCTATAGACTCATAGGACCTATATTCATGAAAAATGCTAACAGTTACACATTAAGTTTGTCATCATATAAATCATACTTTTTTTCACAACGTTTCGGAGTCTTCTTAACTCCATCATCTTCAGGCAAAATATGTTAATAGTACATTGTACAATAGGTATACATCAATCATATAATACATTACTGGAATTGTCTAAAATTATAGATACATTCTCCTTCACACAAAACCACATTTGGAGAGTATTGTCAAGTGATCGCACACTCAACAGATTGGCTGTTTTGAAGAGGAAGAGGAAGAACAAGAAGAAGAGGAGGAGGAAAAGGAAAAAAAAAAAGAAGAAGAAGAAAAAGAAAAATATTGAGATTACTTTTGATTTCTACTATACCTTCTAAAAAAATTTAAACTATCCTTCTTACCAAGCAGACTAAATTTGGCTGATAATCTGTTTCGCTCATATGTTCATCATCAATTAATTAATTAGACCTTGTTGAATATTAGGTCCACTTCATATCATACATGCTAATACTGTTGCTAATGAATATGTCTTCTACTCTAATTGAAATCGTATTGTTTTATGGATAAATTTAGAGTTATATTCATGCCTATTTGATTTTTATTTGATAGTAAAATCAATTTTTCATTTTTATGTAATTCTGCAGACTGTCTTAACTCATAACAGTTTCCACCAACTCATATCTATTTTATTATATCTAGTTGACTGTAAATTCGTAGAAGTTGGCTGATGCATCAGAGTTGAGTTGGGCAATTTTCAAGTAGGTATTTGCTAGTAAGTTGATATTTTACCCTTGCAAATGAAAATATTTATTAATGTGCTAACATAAACAAAGTATTATCTAATGCACTAAAAAGGTGAAAAGGCAAGTTAAATTGAGTGAAAAGCAAAATGCTTATTGCATGTCAATGTTCTATCTCTGTATGTATTGATCTTTAAATTTTTCATTGCTCTAAAGTTTTTTAATAAGTAAAATTTTTGTTGAAGCAAAACCCGAGCAATCTTGAATTTAAAAAAATGACGTGCTTTAGGTGTGTTCTCTTTGTGTTATCTCAGAAATTTTAAATTTTGTTTTTATTGTGATGAATTCACAAATTTTGTAATTTTTGAAGATTTATACAACTTAGGAGAGGATGAAATCTACAAAATTATGTTGATTCTGAATAAGAATGTATGTATTCTGAAGTCCAGATGGGATGCACACTTGTACATTTCATGAACAAACAAATGTCTAGGACGTTTCCATTGAAACAGACCTGATACTTGTGCTTGTATTATTATCAGATGAACAGTTAGGTCACAGTAATGTTGGTTCATGAAAATAGTAACTTCCCTCCTCTCCCCTCCCGTCCCCTTCCCTTTCCTTTCCTTCACTTTATTTTACTTCCCTCCACTCCACTCCACTCCACTCTACTCCACTCCACTCCACTCTACCCCACTCCACTTCCCTCCACTCCATTCCCCTCCAATTCACTTCTCTTCCCTCCACTTCACTATTTCCCCTCCCCTCCCATCCAATCCCCTTCCCATCCCTCTCCCCTCCCCCTCAGGCCAGGTGCCAGAAGTGTGCTTGCTTACCATTAGTGTGTTGGAAATAAGTTCATAGGTATTCTGTCTTAAACAATGGTTTCCTTTATTATATCTAGGTATATAACAGAGCACCCTATGCAGCAAGTCATGGACAATTGTGATCCCCTAGCTATGACACAACTCATTAAAGTATTTTCTACCACTAAAACAATTGTGGCCAAACATTAAGTTTTGGGAATATTTTTAACATAATTTTAATAGCTTAATCCATACTTTAGAAATTAAATTAAATCCTATATTTTACTTTTCTTAAATTAAAACTAATTTACAAATCAAAATCTTTTTTAATCTTTCTACAGAGCAAAACATATGATTCAGCCACTGATAAGTTTATGGACTTCAGTTTTGAAAAGACAAATAGTGCATATATGCTGTTTTATGAATGGTGTAGTCAGGAGAGAGAGCAAAGAGGTGTAGGTCGAGATAATTCCAGTGATGTTGAAACAAACACAAAGGCTTGTACTGTGGAGCTCAGTAAAGAATTAGAAGACTGGATATGGCAAGACAATATGCACTTTCTTAAAGACAAAAATATATTTGAGCACACATATTTTAAGTGAGTAATAGTTTTCTTCACATTACAATAATTGTCTCATAAACAAAGTTTTCTAATGTGGGTTCTGCAGTTTCATGTGGCAAGTTTGTGGCTACATCCCGCAGACGCTACTTAGCAAGCAGCCTGATGTCACAGAAATGGCTGCTCAACTGTCCACATCATTTTTTATCGAGACTTTCATTCACGCCAAAGAAAAGGTTTGGTTAATTGTTATTATACATTAAATTATTGTACTTAATGTGCATATAGTTTCATAATTTGCTTTTCTCAACCTTTTTTAACCTGGTTTACATTGTGTGTGTGACATTGTTTTGTCCTGTTTTAGCCAACAATGGTGCAGTGGGTAGAGTTGTTGACTAAGCAGTTTAATGCATCCCAAGCAGCTTGCGAATGGTTTCTGGATCATATGGCTAACAATGATTGGTGGCCAGTGCAAATTCTTATTAAGTGCCCCAACCAAATGGTGCGCCAGATGTTCCAACGACTTTGCATTCATGTTATCCAACGACTACGGTGAGATAATATATTGCATGCTTATATATCATACATATTTGGTGATTTCTGCTGCTCTTTGGCCTTACTACATCCTGATTTCCATGTCGTGTACTCAAACTTGTCTTTTTCTTTCTTTTTCACTTTCTGATGTACACAATAAAGAGAAATCAAGTGATTAGATTTTTGCAAATATACGCGCTTTGAGGGTTCCTGAGCCACTCCTTTCTTTTTAACTTTTTCTTTTTTTTTTCAAAACTTCTTTTCTTCCATGTACAACACCAATAACAAAGCACTAATGCCATTCTCCAGTCGATGTGGCTGATGTTGGGTCCCCTCAAATTTCAAACTGAGCTTATAAATTTTGGAGTTCTTTACCTTATATTACCTTACATGATCTTACCTTCCTTAGTTTTTTAAATGTGTGAACAGTATTTGTGAAAATATGAGCAGTTTTTATGTGGATTTGGAGTGAAATCTGGGTAATTTTAAACTTGTGTTATGGATTTTCTCATACTTGTAAGTTACACCTCCAAGTTAGGACTATCTTTTAGGTTTTGACCCACTCCATTCCCAGCTACCAACTAACTGCTACTAAGGGTTCTACCAGTACCTCCTGCAGTAACTATTGCTCTCTCAGTGGCAATTCTCAATGAAGTGTTCCCTCGCACTCCCAGAGCATTATGCCAAGGTAGCTTTTTTTTCAGTCCTGAACCATTCATATTTGTGAGTAGTGGCCCATGAGACTCTTAATGGTGCTTGTGCTAATGTACTTGGCATAGGGGTCCACTTCCTCAGTTATGTACACAATGAAATTGATGACGCATCTCGCACAGTTAGGTCAAGCCAAGATTATGGTGTTGGTGTGATACACAGGAGATTGTGAATGCTTCCCAAGCCACAAACCTAACTGTAAACATACAAGCCTGAAGGGGGTTCCAAATCCTTAGTATTATGTTCACTGACCCCAAAGTACGCAGTATCAAAATCACTTGACCACATTATTTGTAAAAGTGTAAGTTATTGTGTTTTATTTTTATTTTATTGTAAATTAATCTGTAAGTATGCGCTCTACACATAAATTAAAGGAAGATGATGCTTTTATACAAGCCATAAAATGTATACATTGTTCATTACACTAAATGCATGTAATTGCAAATGTAAAAATAAAGATAAATGTATTTAAACAGGAATTGAGTATAACCTCATGGCAGTGAATTGCATAAACAGTATAATGTCCTGCAAATAATAATAATAATAATGATGATGATGATGATCATGATCTGTACTAATATATAAAGACACAAGGGTGTTGCGTCACTGTGTGATAATCTCTTAATGTGCTGAACAAATAGCAATGAAACTTAACTGCTAGCTTCCTTTCAAGGTCAGGAGTACGATAGGCTATTATTTACAACCATAAACCTTAATATATTCACAAAATAATTACTTTTATGGACTTTTTTCGCCTAGCATTGCATCACAGATTCAAGAGTGCATCGATGTGCCTCAGTTTGGCTGCGCATCACCAAAGGATGATGACTGAGGTCTACGATTGAGTTCATCAATTCACAAAATTGCATATACCTGTAGAATAGCTGAGGACTTTGTGAGGATTATTTTGAGGATTATTCATCAGTTGTTTAATGGGAAATGTTTATATTAAAGAATAATTCTTACTATTATTCTTCGCTCTATTTATAAAAGTAACATGGATATGGATTTTAATTGCATTTAGACGTGAATATATTAAGTGTACAAGAGAAGTATGCTTATTCATGTATGAAATGTTTCGAAAACAACATTTTGCTGATGGATGTTGATATTGTAAAAGGTATGAATGCACACTCTATTCTACATGAAATATTTATTGGTTAAGTTGTTGTATATTGATAATTACGTATTTGCGAGTGGAATGGGTGGGACTTAGTTGGTGGGTTGGGATGGTTCGGAGTGAGTGAAAGTGAAACTTATTATTAATGATTAAAATGTTAAACACTGTGACAGATGGACGCATTTTTGTAGGGAAGTGTTTTATTATAGTGGAGAAAGCGTATCTTCGTCTCATAAAAGAAAGATTATTTAAATTGATGAAAGTTCAACAAGAAGCATTATTGAAGTAAAAGAATAGTGAGAAATGGAAGGAATTGAATGTGTGTCAATACAGTTTTTCAAGGTTGAAAATAGAGCAAAAGAGCTTTTAGAAAACAGAAGCACTTCGGAGAAGCCAGGATCCACAGTGTGATCTTGGATATTTGGAGATATTATGATTGTCTAAGTGGTTAATGGCACCTTTGCATCAGTTACAATTTATCAAGGATACTAAAACGCTATCTCAAATTCAATTAATAGCACTTTATTTATATTTTCATTGACTCAGTGTAGAGTTCAATAATCAATTTCAAACTTTTCTTTATAGATGAAAAAAATAGTGAGTGAAATTTGGAGGTGGGAAACCCAATTTAAAAAAAACCATTTGTAGTGAGAAAGTGAGCGAGGAAGAGAGGATATTTTCACATGGGAGCAAGGCAGAGAAAGATCAGGCTAGCATACGGCAGAAAGACGGAGCTGGCATACAATGGAATGGACACAAGTAGATCCTGTGACAGGGCGGGAATAGATGGAATACCTCTTCCTGTCTAATAAATTATTATGACTATTCCACTCGTGAAATTATAACCAGAAGTGTTTAACTATTCATACAAAATGCCCCATTCTAGGGGGTGTATCTCAAAAAGTTCATCGCTTTTTCTATCTGATTTTTCTTACTGTTTCTACCTACTGGCCAATCATGAACTGTGACTCATCTATCTTAGGAGGCGATATACATCGATTGCTATGTAGATGACCAATAAATAGTGTACTATAACATAATTTCTGATTTTAACAAACACATTCAGTTAATTTCAATATTTGATGCATTTTAGAACTCTGTTGGACACAATTTTACTTGTGGAATATTAAATACCATTTGTGCTTTAGAAATTCTCATATAAATCCCCGTCTTGCTTTGCAAGTCATGAATTTATCGAACATTTCCAAAGCGCACAAATAATAATAATAATAATAATAATAATAATAATAATAATAATAATAATAATAATAATAATAATGAGGCCTGGCAGTACCTCAGAAAGAGCAAAACCAAGAGCAGTTAGGGACCTGTTTTGGGATAAATAGAATTGTATGGAACAGCTGCAGAAGGTCCAAATGAAACTAATAGAAAATGTGACTCTAATCTGAGTGTAGTGGGAAGCATTTTTTAAAAGAATAATGATAGGAAATGGTGTAGAATTTACATCTGCTTTATAATAATAGATTGGAGGCGTTGTTTTGCTGTACGTTTTTATTTTCTCAGATAGTCTTTTCTGTTGTATTACGGCCATCTTCAGTGCTACAAAAAATTATAACAATACATCCAAATTATAAATAAAATATAATCTATTACGGAATATTACGAATAAAATTAGAATTTGAGCAAATGAGGAAAATTGGAATATAAAACGTGAAAATGGGAACAAAATTTTGAATCAAGATTACATGAAATAACAAATGTACTATGAGAATGAAAAATTTCATAGAGTCGGATTTCCTCAGTTGGCCACGAGTCAGTTCCTATGACTATGTCGGGATCGCAGGCATCAACTTGATTCCAAAACTTTATTTTTTATTGATTACACTACATCATCTACAATAACCTTATGAATTGTTTCTTCACTTGTACTTGAGATGGTGCGTCCCGCGATGCCACCGCCGTCGCAATCCTTGCCGTCGCCCCGGTCTCCCCAAAGCGCGGCTTCGCCAGCACCAATGCCGCAGCCTTCCTGGGTGCAGTCTCTTGCCTCGCAAACACGGCTGGATAACCTCGTCATGCAAGCGACTCCACGTCCATGCACTGCGGAATTTAAATAAATACCATCCCATACATTCTCCTGCCTCAGCCAGAGGTTTGGGTTTACGAAAAATCTATCGATCTTTCCGCATGTCTACCGTAACTCTCGATTTTAATTGCCATGTACTGTGCGTTGCATCACCGCGTATAAAATTATTCGCATGTGTTTGAATTTCTTTTTAGCGCACGGCCTAACTAAGCATTGGATTACTGTGTCGAATATCGGTTGCCTCTTCAATACATTAGTGCCCACTTGCACAAGCACGACTTCCAGAGAGCTTCGCTTTCTTTTGCTCTTTTCATGACGGATCTCGTTTGCGTTTATCCCTGGAAAGAACGAAACGTCGGCTCCTCCTTACATGCGCCTCCTCTGTGGCGCAGCATTAAATCACCGAGCGCCGAGTGAGTTGAAAACATTCGCGACAGAAATACTGATATCGGAAAACTGTTTAAACGATACCGAGGAATGGTTGCCCGTTTTACTGATTTCGTTCTTAAGGCGGCCTCAGCTACTATCCCGAAGTGTTCGCCCACGACATCCTCCCGTGCCATGGTGAAATGCCGACTGTGACATCGCGGTGCGTGATCGGAATCGGACGTCGACAAAACTGAGTAGATTCCCAATCCTGGATAATCTGACAAATTAAAAAAGATTCCAGAGCTAGATTCGACATTTGGGAAACTAAGGTCGCGTTCTGAAAAACCTATATTTCATCACACTTGCTGTAGTAAAGAAATGTGATGAAAGCTTCGACAGATCTGTGGAAGACTTCCTTCTCCGTCTGTCTCAGGGCTTCTGGTAAATGGAAATCTCACTTTACCAGAAGACAGTTGAAGAATTGGCCTCTAACTACGAGCATATCTCCAGCTCTGTACACTTCTCTTCTGGCTTTCTGAACCAAAAGAAGAATGGAGAATTGCAGATTCATTTTCTTGAGTTGAGTGGAGGGAGATTGCAATGTTCCTTTCTCCGTGGATGAATTTTCCTCTGTCCTCGCTTGTGCAAAAGAGTCTGCTCCAGGACCAGACCAGATACTTAATCAAATGCTGAAACACATTCTGGAAAATGGTTGTTCTTTTCTCCTCAACATTTTCAACCAGATTTGGGTTGAACATGCCATAACAAGGATTTGGCGTGAAGCTATTGTTATTCCAATCCCTAAAGAAGGAAAGGACAGCAATGCCCTCAAGTTACTACTTAATCTCGCTCATAAGCTGTGTGTGCAAACTTTTAGAGCGAGTGGTAAACACATCTGGTCTGGCTCCTTAAACAAAGGGATCAATTGACACCTTTTCAATGTGGTTTCAGGGTCGGATAGACCACTTAGTCTCTCTTGCCACATAGATCTCCACTTCTTTCATGCTGCAACAAGTGGTAGCATTTTTTTTCAAGGGATACAGCTGAAAAGCCGATTCCCATAATGACATGTTAATCTCTCTCCAGGATAGAATATGACTTGGCTCGGAAGAGAATGTGTAGCGGGGTCAGAAATGACCTCTACGCAAATGATGATGATGATGATGATGATGATGATGATCATAATAATAATAATATTTAATATTATTATATATAATAATTAATAGATATTAATATTAAAATAATTAATAAAAAGGAAGAAACAAACTTCATTTTATTCTCCTAAAATGCTTTTGATGTAAGTAACTCGTGTTAGTTGTCAGAACATATGGGCCTTGTGCTACTCTTACCAGAACTTTCTCCACCAGGAGCTGCCTACTGTATAAATATACTGTGGTAACTAGAAAGTTGAAAGTGAAAGGATATAGGATTTGGTTACTTTTTTGTTTCATTGCTCTGTTCATTCTAATATCCAAATATGCAAGAGGTGCTGCTTCTATTTCTCTCTTAAATTTCAAAGTTATTTCAACGTTCTAATCATTTTCGAATACCTTTTGCACCAGAGACCTTAAAGTTGAAGTTTAAGAATGCCATTATCAGTTATGAGATTGAAGTAGCTCCAGGTTGGAGTGTCGTTTCTGTTAATTCATTATGTTCCAGGTGGGTTTCTTCGCTGATGATTTCCCGATGCTCCTCTTCAGTGGAGTCATTATAAAGAGAGTTGCACGGATCTTGAATGTCTTTTCTGTTCATATGGCCAAAACCTCTACCTCCAATTTGATGCAATTGTGTTGAATTATTGTACAATTGTGAGGTGAGGTGAATTGACATTCCAACTTTTAAATTTGTTCAAAGAATTGGTCACCCCAACCGGTATCGGGTTGGATCAGGATCCCGGTGGGGGGGCTAATTCTTTGAACAAATTGTATTATTGAAATGCATTGTTAATCACTGACATGGCCACAATTGGATTTCTTTTTGACTGCGAAACATATTCTCCGACTACAAATTTTATATCAAATTTGTAGTTCTCTTTTCTTGCAAAATAGCTTCTATTATACGTGAGCTAACATTTCTGGTTATCATATTTTGTCTACAGCACTCATTGGTATAATTTATTCTTATTTCAGTTAATGTTGGTAAAGAAGTGGGTGTAGGTATTCCAGGGCTCTAGAGAACTTGCATGTATAATACTTTGAGATCGAGTGTCTGCTGAGTTTCTCAAATTATGCTGATAAAGGAAATGAAATGTGCTCTCTTTCAAAAAAGATAGAAAAAAAAAAGTAGTGCGATCAAAAGACGAACTTGCAAACAAAAAACACTATTCTAAAAACAGTCGAACACTAAAACACTGCACCGAATATAAGGAGAAATTCTACGCATATGACTAATAAACATAAAAATGTTTTGGATAAGATCAACACCCATTGGGTCTATTTGTGTGTATATACTAGATTTGTACCAAAGTATAATTCATAAGTTCACTTATTCCTATGGCAAATATTGACGTGCCTTAAGCTACTAAGATCTTGTTTATTCTTGCATAAATAAAGTGTAGATTGGTGTAGATTGGAATAGACAAATAAACAGACCTATTGATATCTTGGTGTTCGGTTATATTCGTGTTACTTCGATAATGTGAAACATGTGTTAATGTTATTAGTAGAGAAAGAATTTTAAATTGCACATTACGGTTGTAAAATGGGGAAAGATGCTGAAAATACATACAAAAAGGTGCTGTTGAAACAACTGTATTAAGGTTTAAACCAGTTACATGAACTCGGTTTCTACAATATACTCTTATCATTTTGCACAGAATTTTACTTCTTTATAGAATCCATAAGATAGTACTTTATCCAACACTGTAGTAGACAGAAAACAATTGCCAGTACTGACTGAGCTGCACCTGCATGACCACTTGGCCGTCTCAGAAATTCCATGCTCTTTAATAGGAAACTTCTCTTGATTCCCGTCTCCTTTCCCCTCCAAATCCACAAGTTCTACCAGTTCTCTTTTAGTATTGACAAGGACACGATGACAAAGGTAAACATTATCTTCAAGTCATAGACAAGTGGATTTCTGCACCGCCAATTTAAATACCCTGATTTGTTTGTTTGGACAGCACTTTAAATCCAGTGGGAAAGGGTTAAATTGTTGCAGCAACGCTGTTGAAATTTAAATTTGAGTTTACAGTTGAAGATTAACCATTGTCATGGGACATACATTACTGGTGATTTACGTAAAATATATTTTAATATTTATTTAATATTCTTATTAAATGAGGTTTAAAAAAGCTGTTCAAGAAAATAAAAAATACAATTTTCTGCCCAATTGTTTAGAAACGCAGTAAACAATGGAGAAAAGTCTCTTATGCTGAATCATAAAAAACAGGGAAAAGGTGGTGAAATGTAATAATCTCATGAAAAGGTGCAGCAAATTGTGTTCATTTCTCTTCATTTCATCCCCACAAATACATTAAACGATCGGTATGAAAACAGCTATAGTTTGGAAAAGGTGCTGGACCTTAAAATCCTTTCCCTAGTTATTAGAAAAGATTCTTATTTGAGGATTGCATTCACAATCATTTGTTTCTCGCCTTTTGAGTTCAGTAGATTCAATACTCCTGTGAAGTGTTTGTAGACTGTTGAACAATTTTTTTCGAGACAATAACTACATTTCTCTGAATTCTAGGTAAGTTCTTAACATATGTTAATATAATATATAAAAGTATAATTAATTGTTAAACTTTAAATGCAAATTATTATGAAATAACTTTTTCTGAATTGAATTTGGTTTAATTTTCAATGTATTGAATATATATAATTTAATTTAATATAAAATATGATAATTTTTATTGTGTATTTTATTTTCATAGTCAAAGATTTTCATTCTTTTGAATTTTGTTTCCAATGTAAATTTGTGTATTATGTTTGATTAGTTATTTGTTACAAGTACTATATACAGTGCTGAAAACAGATGTCTAAATAAGTGTTAAAATATATATATATATTTAGTTGAGAACACTTACAATAACTAATCAAACATAATACACAACATTTACATGAAACAAATTCAAAGAATGAAAATCTTTGACTATGAAAATAAAATACACAATAAAAATTATCATATTTTATATTAAATTATATATATTCAATACATTGAAATACAAGGAAAATGTCAACGGCCCTTCCTGAGCTGGGCGAATAGTTTCTGGTGAAAGTTATCAAGGTCAAGGGAGACCCCTGAAAGATGCAAAATTGGTGTGTGATATTGCCTACTAAATGTATAATTTTCACAAACCTAATTTCCTTTGTGTTCTCTGTGGTACTCATGCTGAACACCAACACACCAGAACCAGGGAATGCGTTGTCAATCTGCCCTTTTATTTGCAATAATGTCGGTATTTACAGACAGACTCATTGCAACACAATGCAATAGCGGCATTTCAAAGAGGAGGCTGCAGAAAACAATGCTTGACAAAGTTGAAATGTTTGTGTGGGAGATTAGTTATCAAAAACATACAGGAAAAATTAAAAATTAAATAAAAAATTGCAGAAAAAATGGAAAAATTCAGTAATATGTAAAAAAATGTTCTTTGAGGTAAAATATGTAAATATATGTACTTGAGGTAAAATATGTACTAAAATGTGTTTTTTTTTAATCTAACAGAAAAGTACACTACTATGAAACATAAAGATATTGTTGATTCGACATGACAGAGTTACGTTTGGAAAATGTTATTACATAATTATCCAGGCCCTATTCAGCACATATGTTTTATTGTTTTTAGGAAAAGGAGGTTATTAATAACTGGTTATCTTAATTGTATCTTATTCAATTAATTTTTGGTTTTAGACAAAATCATGCTCCTTTGTATTTGAAATGCAAAGATGGCGATGAAGGTTCTGAAGACAGATGCCCTGCCTCAATAGGTTTCCAGTCTTGTGTTACCAGATTCATTCGAATGCTACTTTCTCTTGTAAGCATCAAATTGTATTCACTACTCAAACAAATTATTTTACATGATAGATATTTATATTGTATATATTGCATGACTTCAATATTTATTCATATAAATGATAGTACATATTAATGTCTTGTACAGATGGAACATGGTGCCAAGGCACATCTGAAGCATCTTACTGAGTACTTTGCCTTTCTTAATGAGTTTAGTAAAATGGGAGAAGAAGAAAGCCAATTTTTAATTCAAGTACAAGCAATCTCTACTATGGTGAACTTCTATCTTGGCCAGAAAGCTCAAGACTATGTAAGTGTATATGAAGAAAAATTGTTAAAAGTAATTTTGTGGCAGTGACGTTTAAGGCGCAGTGTTTCTAAGATGATATTTTGATGCATAATTTAGGCATAGCTCTCAATTTATAATTTTGTATCTATAGAAATATAGTTGTCTTGTAATTATATTTGTTTTATTTTTGCCAAGCATGATAGCTTTTTTTGTCATGGTATGTGGGTGGAAGACCTTGATGTTAAGTAGAACATGTTGAAGTGTTACATTGTATGTGGTGTTTGAGGAAAATGTATGTAAAATTGTGCTTACTGGCATACTGATATAAAGCTAATACATGAAGTTACATTGTTAAATGAAGCATATGTTTTATTTATTGAGAATGTAGTGGTGATGCTTTAATATTAGTATTGCGTAGTTATATTGAAATATTAAAACTCGTTCACCAGTGTTAATCTGAATTTTACTTGTCATCTATTAGAAACTATGTTAAATTTCAATTCTATTACTTAAAATTTTAAAATATTTGAAAAGAGTGCAATCCAAAAAGGCTTTTATATTGTGAACACTTTTTTTTCTTGTTTTTGTTTATCTTGTGATCTCTGGTAAAGGTGGAAGTTGTAAGTGAAGAAGAGGAAGAAGAAGATGTGATACCTTTGCCCACTGACAAATACAAACCTGCCTCACTAGAGAAAATGATCACACTAGTAGCTTCATTAGTGGAAAGGTCACGTGGCCCTGATCATCTTTTAAAACTTGCTACTGCAGATTTCACTGCCATTGCTGGGGGAAAGGTGAGCAAAATTAAATTTGCAATACTAACTATCCTTTACTTTCTATGTGAGATAATATATTTATTTTAATTGTCCAGGGTTTTCCATTCTTGTATCAACAAATCAAGGATAGTATAAATCTCAATCAAACTCGCAATCTAATTTATGCATTATGTCGGTGGAATGAGAGATTAGCAGTGCATGTCATCACCATGCTGTTCCAGGCAATAACTAAACATAGTGAAGTAAGTATATTATGAATTTATTTAATGTATTAAGTTTAATAGTATTTACCAGCAATAAACAACAGTGAAGTGTTTCTTATTCTAAATATAATCTTAATGATGTGCAGGTTTGCCAGCCATTTTTCAAGTTATTGACATTACTGACAGAACCAACATCTGGGCCCTCTGGACTTCCATCCTTTACGCAGTTAGTACTTCAGCGAATTTGGGAAGTTGCAGAATTCTGTCCACAGAGTGCCCTTGACTGGCTAGCTGTACAAGTGCCTCGAAATAAGTTGGCTCATTCATGGGTTCTGCAAAGTATGGAGACATGGGTCGAGCATTTCTTATTGGCACACAGTAATCAGCGAGTCCGTTCAGGTACTGTTAATTCTCTTAGAAGAGTTTTAAAATCGGTGCTGTAAATTCTTGTGTGTGTGTGTGTGTTTGTGGGGGGAGGGAGCATGTATATGTATTTACTCCTCCATATATTTCATTCCATTTGTATTTGATGAAATACATCTCGATGTAAAATCTAATAATACATTTTTACCCTCTGTTTGGCATGGTATCTATAATATTCATTTCAAAAGTAAATAAATTTCTTTATGTAAATGGAAGGAGATATTTGCAGTACTATCTTTGTATTTCATTGTCATTTGCTGTCACTTCTTTGGACTGATGACAAGTGTCAAAATAAAGTATGTATGAACAAATTGTATTTGAAGGATACACGACACCTACGTACTTGGTAAGTTACATTTCATTTGAATCCACATACACTCTTCTTAGAACTTTGGAACTCACAGTATAACTGTACTCAAAATTTATTATTTGAAACAGACTGAAAGTATGTGCTTTTGCTAATGATTATGTAAAATCTGTCAAGATAAACATGACCAGTGCACTATGCAAAGTCCGTGAGCAGATTCTGGCAGATGAGATGTTCTACTATGCATTGAGAACTAGTTGCAGTCCTACACCAACAAGGCTTAATATCAGAGAGATCTCTTTTGACAAATATGAAATCTTCATTGCAGGATTGAACAATGGATGTGGATAGTGAAAATAATATCATCTACTCAACCTTTATCGTATTCTTGCAGTTACCTAATGCTCCCTTGATCATTTTGGCATTAGGATAGTGCTTCTGCATTAGTAGTGAGTCTCTTTATCATTATAAGTTCGGGAATTTCGAAAATTGCAGATGTTCAGTTTTCTTTTCAAATCTAATGTACACCTTTAGTTTCAAAGTTGGAGAGTTCTTTCTCAGTCCAATCTGTTCCTCAAACTTAGTTTTTAAACCATATGTAATTTGTGTCTGGAAATATTAGAAGTTTTTGTGTAATTTTGAGTGTAATGGTCACTAAGTAGAAATGTTTCGGGAACCTAACTTATACTTTCTATATTCAAGCTAGAGATTGCTATCTTAAGGCAATTTATTTTCGAATATTAGATAATGAATCACCCCTGCGTGATAATAGTAATTCCCACCAAATATAAGAAACTGGCCAAGAAAGTTATTCAGCCATTGCAGTCGAACCAAGCATCCACACCCTCTCAGTCACATATGAAGGTTGATGTCAGTTGGCTATCCATCCCGGGCTCATTTCCAAGTGACCGATCTTTCAAGCCCTGACCACTGACTGAGCTGACAATTACTCAGCCTGTTGTGCAGTGCTCAGAAAGACTGCCAAGGAGGAAACTTCAGCTGGAAAATGGGGTGGAAACTCTCCCCTTCTCGGGTTGTAACTACACACAGTATGGCTTTCCTACCCTGGGATTTAAATAGTTTTTGCTTCCAATGGGATGAACTAAAACTTGTTGTTTACAGGAGATGCATCTAATTCCATCACACCCCTTATTTTTTTGTAGTTTCACTCCATCTAGAATTGATGTTGATGACGGCCTCTTCACACATGGTGGAGCTGCTTCATTGATCCATGACTCGTTGCTTTTTACAGATGTACGTATTGAGATAGAGCAAATATTCTTGATTGTTGATGCTATAGGCACCCACAGCCGTCTGTGAATCTCTCCTCACACTTGTCAAAGAAGAGTCATTTTGGAATCAGCCAACACCACCACTAATCTTGTAATTCTCTCTTCAGGTGAACCAATGTATTTTGCCATAGCTATGATTTCAAACATGAATATCGCCCTAGCCCTGTGCACTCTTTCATTTGCAACCATTATGGAGTGGACCTGTTGTACTAATAGATAACTGGATTGAAAGTTACTATTTCCTTAGCAGCGTCCACATTTATTGACTAGGTTGTAAGTTGGCTTGATCTCAGTGGATCGTACAGTGTGCTGACTTGTTGACATTTCAAACTAACATTGAACTCTTAGATGTCCCCTTTTGTGATGTGGACAGAGATAAACCACTTCACCCCTATGTCCCTTAATGGAACTTGAAAAGTTCTAGAATGGTCAGTGCCCGTAAAAAGACACTGGCATGACTTGCATATTATCCAACTGTGGAAAAACTCATCTAATGCAAAAGATGCAGGGCAGAGGCAAGGAGAATCATTTTAGAAAGCAAAAATGCATCATTGTGTGCGTAGTCTCCTCTCTAAAGTTAAATACTGTTATATAATTATGATTCATCGACCATTTTCTTTTTTAACTACAAGTGGTACTATTAATGCAAATCTTGGTGGTACAGGTCCTTTTGTTTAAGTACCGCAAAGTTTTCCAAAAACTATTTTCTAACAGAAATTATCCCTTATTCTTTAAAAAGCACATCCGAAGGTTACATTTTATCTTTTTTATAAACTGTTTTTAAAATTCTCTTTTGAATACCCTTCAACAGTTTTAAGGCATTGTTATAGGCACCGCTCCATACAATCATGTCATACATAGCAATTGCCCAGAACAAAGCAAAGTACATCTTTTACAATTGATTTTTATCAAAAATAGTTTATAAAAGACAGATCAGATATCATAATTTGTCAGTAGTATAAAAGATATAAATATTGGTAAGAATTTTTTTCTAATGCCTGAGAAATCCTTTTCCCATCAAATTGAAATTTTGTTGGTATTCTTGCTTGGTTTGCCATTTGTTAAAGGACATCAGATTGTTTTGCCTTCCTTTCTGAATCATTTGCTATTGCCAATTATTGCACGTATTTGTCAGTGACCAATTTGGCTGCCTTCTAAAAAGCATCAGTTGTTCTTGCATAGAACATCATCCTTGTCAAAATCAAATATTATTATTTTATCATTACTTCATTATGAAGAGACTCATTCATGAAAATAATATTGTTTAATAGATATGTGTGATAATAAATAGTTAATGTTTTAAATTTAAGTACTTACAGGTGTCAGTATTTACACCTGATAGCCTGAATCAGCACTTATATAATTATTTCATATTATATTTATCATATATCAATACAGGCAATTATTACAAAAAGAAAAAAGCCAAAAAAACAGGTCAGAAATGGACTCTAAAACTTTATATTGTGAAAACTCATAAATTTTTATTTGAAATTTCAAAATGTTGTGTTTGTTTATTTCATGGCAGCATGTTGTCCATTATGTTAAGTAATATTTATTTGAGTGGAACTATTTACAGCTGCTGCTTATCTTCTTGTATCCTTGGTGCCCAGCCCACACTTCCGACAAGGATATCGCACAGCTCGCCACTTATCTTCCCCTCACAAGGAACTTGTGGTGGGATCAGATGCACAAATTGTGCTGCACCAAGTGTACACAGTACTTCTTCATTTATTGAAGCCAGCACGCCACTATACTGACATTCAGACTCATGGTACTATGAAATTGACCTCGTACTTCACTCTTCTCACCTACTGTGTTGTCTCACGAGCAGAAAAGCTTATGGTAAGATTTTTTTTATAAGAATTGGAGGATAAACACTGATATCCATTTCAGCCAGTTGTTTATTCATTTTCTTATATTGCGGTTTTGAAGTAACCTTATTTAGTTAAGTTTTCTTTTAACAAGTGATTTTCAAGTGTGATTAACAAAGTGAATGAAGTTTTATATTGTTGATCAAAGTACTTCTAATATTACATGGGCATAGTAAAGTAATAATTGTAAAAATACACATTGATAGTAACTTACGATCAGTTTATTCTGAAAAAGAGTTGATTTAGCTGCTTGGGGGAGGATTGATAGTTGTATACAACATAGCAGTAGTTGCAGTAGAATTAATAGTGGCAGCCAAAGTTATAGTAATGGTGATTTTTTTAATATCAATGAATAATATTAGAATTAATATAGAATTAATATTATGAACTTGAAATAAACAAGTATACCAAAGTTATTATAAACTTGTATATTTGGTTTTGTCAAGTTATGAACTCGTCTTTAATTTTTTAAATGTTCAGTTTTATTATATTGTATATGTTATTAACTGCTATTATAACCTTAAATTAATTAATTTTTGGATTTTTATTTTAGACTGGTAGTACAAATAGGAAAAGTTGTTAGTATTTGTAATGAAAAGTCATGAAGGCAGGAATTGATTTAAAATAGTGACTTCTCTTCTAAACGTAATTTAATTTAACCCATTGTCACCTTAGCCTGAAAAAAAAATTCAGATTTCTTTGAAGTAATTTTTAGTATAGTTGGGAAAATTGATATTGGTAGGTGTGGATACACGAGAAAAGTCTACGAAATTTTGTTGCCTTCCTATTGATCTTAAAACATTTTTTCTAGAATGTTGTAAGACTTCTTGCAAAAAACATCATGTTTATGTCAATGTTGAAAATTTTTTACTGTGATATCTCTTCTGATAAAAGTAATCAAATGGTAGATAAAATATTTATTCAGAGAAAGAGCAGGTTCATTAATGATAACTCCTTCCTTTTCTTTTCCAGTTTGGTCAGTACTTTTTGGATTTGTGGCAACTCTTTCATCCAAAGCTTTCAGAACCTTCTATCCCAGTTCATCACAACAAGCAGGCACTTCTGTTGTTTTGGCATCATGTGTGTGTTGATTGCCCTGAAAATGTGCAGCTGATCCTGCAAAATGCTCACGTCACCAAAAACATAGCCTTCAACTACATCTTGTATGTATTATTGCTTTTTTAATGTACTTTATTTATGGTATAGTTATCTTTATAAGGAACCAAAATTGTCGATAGTTATATTAATTTTTAAATTAACTTCCCAATGAAACAAATCTCTGACCCTCAACTTTACAAAACTGAATTATTATTCTTTTGTGAAATTGTGTAAATGGAAGCAATTGAGACAAATTTGCCTGAATATTCCATTTATGTTTGTTGTGAGTGTGCAGCAAAAAATTTGTTAATGAATAGATGAAGGTTGGTTTCCAAAATTATTAGCAGCTTTCGTGCATTTACTAAGAATGCCCCTTCAATAATAAAATTGTCCTGAGAGTTTACATACCCGTATTGTGCGGGAGATGTGAGATTGGTATTGACAGTACGGGGACGGACTACGTTTCCTTGGCGATGACAAGCACAGGGCCTAGTCGAATATCAGTTCCGTCAGCATCCGGCGAGCGCCGATGAATCGCCACGACCAAGGGCACATTTCGGTTCCGGGCGTCGGTGCCACGCCTAGTATCCGACCCGAATTAAGGCCGTTATAGGTTAATTGCCTTCTTCTTCTTCTTCTTCTTCTCCTTCTTCTTCTTCTCCTTCTTCTTCTCCTTCTTCTTCTTCTCCTTCTTCTTCTTATCCTTCTTCTTCTTATCCTTCTTCTTATCCTTCTTCTTATCCTTCTTCTTCTTATCATTCTTCTTCTTCTTATCCTCCTTCTTCTTATCCTTCTTCTTCTTCTTATCCTCCTTATCCTTCTTCTTATCCTTCTTCTTCTTCTTATCCTTCTTCCCCCCTCCTCCTCCTCCTCCTCTCTTCTCCTCCCTTGTTCCTCCCTTCTCCCTCCCCCTCCCTCCTCCCTTCTCCCT